TGTTGCATACGATTTTCTTCCTGCGTCGTGTCATTCGCGAAATCTTTCGCCTTGATAACAATTAACTGCTGCGATCAGCTATCGGTGAAGATCAATATGTTTTCTTTCTACATCTACGATACGCATCACGTCGTTGCCTCGAACAGAAATTGCCCAATTAAGATTCGCGTTCCTTTGTCGAATGACATTTTATTTAATAATGACTGAGAGAGGGGCTAGAAAAATTAAGATAAAGTAAGAAATACAGAAAATGTTGGCTTTCTTTATTTATTACAGTACGAAGGTTACAAATATCGAGTAACGTCATATTTACGATCAAAAACCTTCAGTTTGCTTTGCAACGGTGCAAAACAATTCAGTTCCTTATTTCACGTTGGTGATTGATTTACGGCCTCATCTGTGATCGAGAACGAAGAAAAAACAAAGGATACCTCGAACTGAGGCAAAAGGATGTTCGCTTTCTCGATTTTCGGTGTCGCAACTCACCGGTCTATCGCAGAACCTCAAAGAAGACTTGCAACGCGGTGTTACGAACCGGTGAGCTTGCTTAACGTCGCGTCGCAAACAGAGGAGAGGAACTCCGCCGCGAATCGGATAAAAAGAGAAACAGTTCTGCTTATATGATCACTGATTACGAAGGGGCCAAGGGCCTGGGGGCCTTGGAACCGCTATTCTTAGAAGATGGGTCCTTCTCCTTCTACTACTACCTTCTTCTGTCTCGCTGCACTTCTTTATCTCTTTTCCCTTTCCTTCCTTTTTTTCTTACCTCGGCACGGTGCACCGCTCGAACTCTTCTTTCGGACTCTTTCGTCTCATGCGCACCGTTCCTACAGCGATTCCTAATTACCCGCGCTCGCTTACGTCTGTCTCTGCTTCACCCTTTATTCTATCTCGGTTTCGAGCCGCAGCTCAGACCGGCATGCATAATGCATTTAAAGATCGCGTGATAACGGCCGATTATGCGGCCGCGCGGGCCTCTTTCCGCGAAAGGAGTCGCGAATTGGGCCCTACCGGACCATGACTCGGCAAGCTACGTGGGCGTGCCCGTGCGAAAGAAAGAAAACGCTGGCATCAGGACTGCATGAATGAAAATGATATTACTTTCTGCGGTACGTTTCTTCTCTCGTGAGTTGCCACTGTCTTTCCCTGAGCATGCCTTCCCTTGCAAGCTTCTAGTCTATATTAAATTGAAGAATCTCGTGTAGATAACATTTTCTGTTTACTACATTCGTTCAATTACGTTTCTATTTGAAAACATTTTATTTTTACTTAAAAGATAATGATAGTAACACTATATTATAACACAATATTCGTAAGAAAGGGACGAATCCATTCCGTCCGTATAATTATGACTGATCACCCACCTACGCTTAAAACAGTCAATGGGTAAGGAAGAGGTTCTTCCAGGGAAACGTCCATTGCATGGTTCAAACGAATAGAGAGAAGACTGGATGGAAGATATTACTTCATAACAGCGTTCGCGATTGCAGACATCATCCGTATACTCCTTCCTTCCTAAACGGTGCTTGTCAAATTACACAGCAATCGCTTTCTAATTCTGAATGAACTGGTAGACGTTCATTCTACTTATATCTTATCTCTAGTTATTCTAAATTAAAATTAAATATTAAGGAACAAAATAGTTTGCAGTTTTTAACAGTTTCTTGAAGTTTCTCAAAGCAGCAGCGTCTATACACGTAAATAAGGGCATTTATAAATATTCAATATAATGCACCAAATTCGATTCATTGTTCGTCAGAATTCGATAACATGACACGTGCATGCAGATATGATGCATTTTACTAGTGAAATTCGTGAACAATCGGTAATGAGGCAACAGCTTATTGTATACATTGTACGTATGTTACTGTTAATTTGTGAAATACGTAACTGGCTATTATATGATATAACTTCCCTAAAATGTTTAGCTGTTTCGCGTGATGATTAGCTGTACATAGATTAACTGTTAGACGCTCGGACGGTAACATATGTATGTATTATTGAACCGGGGCAAAATGGTGGTTGAATAAATGTATTCAGAACCTCGAAATCCTTGAACGAGTCGTTCTTGCGAATTTACGAATTACGCGGAGTGGCGGGTATGGAAATTAGCTCAATCGCACCGGCAGCCTCGGCTCGAATTTCATAAAAGTCTGGGCAAGGCTCTCGCGGTTTGCGTTTTCCTTTGCTCTCTTTCGGTACCGCTTTCCATTCGACGCATTTTTCCCTCAACGCTTTTTGTCACTTTACGGCCGCTGTCGCATTCCATCGACGGTTTCGCTTAAACGAGACCGAACGACGCGATGAAAATTGCTTTTCTCGGGCCACCGCATATGATTACACTGTAAAGAGAATTTGCTATAGCCTTATTCTGATTGTGCCAGATCGTCACATAAATAATTTAACTATTCGGCTTCGAGAGGACGGACGAAGACCATTCATTCAAGACATTAATCATTTATATCTCTCCCTTAATCCTTAAATGACTTATCATTTATCTAATGTCTTTTTAACACTAGAACTACCGGCGATTAACGTATACCTATTTCTATCGAAGGGGTAAAAATGACTAGGTTTTCAAATTAATAAGTCATAAGAAAAGAGATAGCAGTTTTTACGTTTTTATGAGTGAATAATAAACTGATAATGAAAATAATAATAATAATTTAATAACGATAATTTTCAAAATAATTACGCTTTTAATTATTTGCATATTTTAGAAAATGTCATACAAACATTTTAGGAAACAAAATGTACTGAAAATGAATAATGATTATAAGAAATGCCAAACAAGTAATTTTGATTTCCCTCGGTAAATCTTACATTTGATCGAAAGACAATATTTCTATATAATTCACACGATCAGGCGAACGAATAAGTTTGGTAAGTTTGTCTGGAAATCAAAACCGTTTTTCCCGTGAAAATACACAAACGATTAGAATATTTCTATGCCAATTATAAACGTCATTAACGCGATATTCAAGCTTCGACCAGCAGCTCTTGCTTGAAGCATAATAGAGAGAGGTGAACGTATCGCAGGCGAAATTATTCGCCTATTGACATCGATACCCAGTAATTATCAGCATTCATGTTACTCTATCGCGTACGGATGGCAATCAGTGTATTGCTACGAGGCATCTATGCGAAATTAGCACCGACAGTTTCCGGATTTTTTTAGAACCGGCCTTGACGAGATATAGGATTCTATGGCGATAATACATTTTCCGATTTTCCGAACACCCGCTCTTCGTTTCTCTTCTATACGCGCGTTTCATACTTGTTCTTCGTCTCGTCTTTCGCCGTGAATTTTCAACGGGTTGAAAAATCTCGACGCGACCACTGAGCCTTGGAAAATTGAATCTAGCGCCCTGCCAGTGAAATGGAATTCAATTATTAGTAATACAGTCGGGGCACGATTGAAAAAGAATGATAGAGACTGTAAAGCGGCGAGGTTGAGACCAGTAGAGGTAAGGAAAGCGGAATAGTAACCGCGAAAATTCATCGTGTAAAATTAACCGCGGACTTAATTACTGGTTTTACTCTAATTAAGCTCGATAATAAAGTCTGATTTAGAGAAAGGAATAATTCGAGGATTTATTGTCTGCTGATACGAGATCGTTCTTCAGGCTCGCTTACAAAATTTATGTTCAAACTTCATTTCAAAGATGATTATACAATAACAGAAATAATAACTGATATTAGTATAATTTATAATTTGTATTTTGTAATTACGCAGTTGCATATTATAATGTATATCAATGGGAATAATTTGATTATTTTATTAAAACATGCATTATATGATTTTTTGTATTATTGACGAAGAGCGATTGATAAAAGTTACATATTTTTTAATGTTCTTTGATAACATGATAACGCTGCTTAGGAGCATATCTGATTCAATGTTTGCAATATTTGAAAATAAATCATGTTTTACGTAAAATGAAGTTGATATTTAACGGAGTAGTCCCAGTCAGTCGCGACAATGCTTAACGTTGAAAACAAAATGCATTCTGTATAGGTGTGTACATATAATGCTTGTAGCCGATCGTCCTACGCTAAACGAACTTCCGGGTAGCTTGTTCACTTTTGCGCGCGTAAAATCCTCGACCACTTTCGAGGCACCGTTAGAATGTAATCAGTTGTGGTCAATTTTCTTATAGATTCTGTAAAGGAGAGAAAAGAGACAATATTCTTGGGGAAAGGATACTATCCAAAGGGACATAAATTAACACACAGTCTAGCCCACGTGGTATTTTTTATAAAATTAATTTATCTTAGTTACGAATGTTTAACTGTAGAAAAAATATTTTATTTCATATATTATATATTTGCTAATTGATTTTTGACAGATGTGCAGATCCGAGGCACGATCACCGATTTTGATGAAACTTTGCACGTTTGTAATACTATGAAAAATTCATTAACACGTACATTTTTATGTATTCTCATCTCGTTTAAGTACGAAAATCTCCCCTTGATTATTAAGAGTGGATTTTCTATGATAGGTTGAATCTGTTCAAATTTTCAGTAAATAGAAATCTTTTTGGCAGGTTTTAAGGTCGTAGAATTTGTGTCTGGTGCAAAAATAATAAAATTTAAAATTGTTATATAATTTTCTTGCAACTAATTTTTACTGAAAGATCTTACAAAAATGATAATTGTTAATGCTCAATATGTGAAGATGATGTACATTAGACACATTTCAGTGAACCTCATTGCCAGACCATCCCAAACCAGATTCCTCTAATCTTCAACTAATCGCATACAGTAAAATGATATTCTATGAAAGATTATACCTTTTCGTACCCAGTTGAACTTGTACTATGTTGTTTACCGCATAGACCTTATCAAAAAGGATCACAAAAAGCGGAATAACCGTTCATTAAAAAAAAGGGAGCCCGATTCGACCGACTCGAGATCCAGGCCCAACGGCTAACAACACATGCTTGAGCGGTCGGTATTATTATAATAAATGGTTGCGTGTTACTTGTCTGTTGCAGAAAAATTGCTGAACAGCGAGGGCCGCGAGCTGCGACGGGCTCTCTTCTCCCTCAAGCAGATCTTTCAGGTGAGTTTATAATTCGCGATATACTTGCGAGACAGAGTTGGAGAAAGTGTTTAGAAGCGAGACGGCGCGAACTATTGAAGTACAAGAGAAAGAGGAAGAGTATTGGTAGGAGGGAAGGAAAGACGAGTGATAGAAAAAGGGACGAGGATAAAAGAAGAAAGAGGCTGAGGTAGACAGAGGGGCTATTTTTACGCGAAGCTACTCGCTCGACGAGTAAATATTTGCATGGTGGTTCGACCAAGTGCATTTTCTCTTTCCCTTTCTATTCTACCCTCTTCCTGCCTTCTGTTCCTCTGCCGATCTTCTTTTTTATCTTTCCCATCTTAACTGCAAATTCATTGTTTCTGGCTTTATCCTTTATTCCATTTCCATACGATTTTTCAGTGCTGAATATTCAATACTTCCAACGTCGTGCTAAAATTCCCTTACACACAAGTATATTCATGTTTTCGAACGTTATCTCAATATTAAAAAATATTTTACACGTGTAGAGTATTTCAAAACATATTTTCATAGCTCTTTTTCATTTCGGTTATGTCCAAAATAAAATTTCTTGTAAATAACATATTGCAATAAAAATTTTTAACTGATAGTAAAAGATTTAATATGCCAAATACACTAGATTGTATCAATATATTAGGTTGATTCATTAAGAAATCATAAAGACGTTAAAAAAATAAAATACAAAAATTCATGCTGGTTTAATATTAATCAGTATTTTTTTAAATGCTTTCAAAACGAACGTTTAATTAAACAAGAGGATTATTAATTCGTTTAAAACGAACGCATTCAACGGCGGGTATGAGAGGTATCTAAAATCCCCTTTTTTGGGACGATGGCTTATCGTTTCAATTATCAGCCGGCTAGCTATGAAATTAATTACAATGCTGCATCCTCTTTCCTATAGGAAGGCACGGTTTCCTTTTCCCTTCAAACGAAATCTCTGCTACGTCCGGCGAGTTTATCGGATTAAATCGCCACGGCAACGTTCAATTTCGCTTCTTAATCTGCAGCTAATCTGCTCTTTCACGTATTCGCAAGTACGCAAGCTACGTTCTAAAGAAACGGAGAACTCGAGAATAGCTGCGCGCTGGATGAAGAGCTTGATCAAAACTTGTTGAATTTCCTATTATGTTCATTTTTTGTTGCGCGAAACGGTATATCAAAGACCATTTAGGTATAAAAGATGTACGGTTAGCTTGTTGTCAGATAAATCTAATATTGAATTACAGCTTGTTAATTTTGTCATTTTTCATGCATTGGTAGTTTCCACTCTCATCTATGGTTAATTGTACGATAGGATCTATAATAATTTTGAACGTTTCGTTGAACTTCGTTTTGGACACTTTCCCTTTGCTGAAAGAAAAGTAAAATAGAATTGATCGACGATAAAATCATATAAAACACATAAAAAGCAAATTCATTTTTTTCGTATAATGATGCATCGTGTATCATAATCGAATAATGAAAATACTTTAAACATTACTTTAAATAATGGAGAGAGGGTCTCATTTTAGAAGCCCTGAACCGCCGATTGAGGGTTGGGTGTTTCGTGTCGAATAAATTAGATGATTATTAATATATATAATGGATATATTTACAGTTCTATATATGCAATTAATATATGTATATTTATAATGCACTTAATTCTACATATTTTATAATCTTAAGTCACCCGTACGACGTTGCTTACCATGAAGTTTGATTTGCACAGGAGGACAAGGACCTGGTACACGAGTTTGTACAGAATGACGGGCTTGCCTGCCTCATCAAGGTTGGCAGCGAAGCCGACCAGAATTACCAAAATTACATACTTCGCGGTGAGTATCTATCCTGACAATTCACCGATAGACCTGCTACGTGGTTTCATCTCGTGCATAGCGTTGTTTAGCCACCTAAATGCCGTGTGTATCGTTAGGGCTATATTTTTCGCGGGATCACGAGTTTATGACCGCGCTCGAGAATATTTACGAGGCATAAAAGGAAATGCCTTACAAGTTGTTCGAAGCCCGCCGCCACGTTACCTTTAATCAACCCGAAACTCTTATATGTATAGTTGGGCATATCTATGATTGTTTTTACAAATAAACGTGTTATATAGTACATGATTTATCATAATCTTTTATATTAATATCTTACAATAAGATAGTCGTGTCTATACAAAATTTGAAAATCTCAATTCATTTTAAGTTATGATTGCAAGATTAAGCTATCTCATGTTTGACATTGTTACATATTATTTGAATAAACCCGTATTCAGAATGGTAAGCACTCGGGGCGCGGTCGAGTCTTGAGATTTCTCGTTAAACACGCTGGGCTTCATCATACATCTGCGACCGGCTTTCATAAGCAACGATAAGATAATACTCGGCTTAATGCAACTAGTTAACATCTAGCGAGCTAACATCAACCATTCCATGAAAATTAGGCGAGGCAGTTGTCTTCTTCCCATATTTTAAAATATTATAAGCAGTTTCTGGTAACCAAATATAATGAATATACTAATATAGAAATTTCTGAATTCCCAAATTTATCTGCATCAAAAATTATCCAGCTAGTTTCATTGTTAAAATACTATAGCCAGTTTAAATTAGGTTTATTATTTGTGGACATCCTGTGTTAAAGAAGGGTCAACTCAAGCAAAAGAATTGTACTATATCTATGCCGGTAATCGCTCTGTATTTTGAATGCACAATTCTATTTTAATGCACACTCTTTATATAAAGTATATAAGGGTACAAGATTTGGGGATTTTCCAATATCTTATCTACTTCCACGAATGGCTTAAAAGGGAATTAAGGGGCTTTACAAAGAATCTAGTGGATCATAAGAAACGTATGGCAAATAGAGCTCGCGGCGAATGATAAGCAGAAGGTTCGGTCGACAATCAACCGCGTGCGCGTTTCGTTCAATGATCCACGCCCCGTTAACGTCAAGCTGTTTACAAAAGCGAGCGAGCGCAGGTTCGCGGATCCGGCCGCGAAACCGCGATGCATACCGGATTATGAATGCAGCCTTTGATCGCGCGGTTTCGAGTGGTTCGCTGTCGCTCGAGTGCTTCGTAAACCTCCGCTCCGGTCGAACAACGCCACGAGAAGACCAATTCTGCTTTGGCTCGGAGCAGGAGCGGGAGATCGTGTGCAACCCTCCTCGCTCTTTTGCCGGCTCCTCGCTTCACCGATAACGAACCAGAGCGGAGTCGCCTCTCGTCTTCGATCTAGCCGCGCGGGACCCGGAGTGTCTCCCGGGAATACTCGGGCTGAAGAAGGACGGACCTTCCAGCGGCAGAACCAAATTCCTGCTCCCCAGAGATACTGTTTGCACGGGAGGGATGACTCTTCTTTGTAAGCTATCTTTTTTCTCCCGTTTTTCGAGATACTTCAACCTGACGGTGAAATCGGTATTCGATAATTAATTGGTGCGTTGAAAGTTTGTAATGATGTAGGTTGATGTAAATCTGCTTTCTGATAGAAAGGATGAGTTACGTAACTGGATTATAAAATCGCGAACGGATTGTATATTTATTACGATGGTGCATACGAAATGTTATTTTATATCATATTTAACTTCGATAATTTAATCATTTTATGTTTGTAATATTGAAATTTATAATTTTTTAAGTGAAGAGATAATGCAATGTATTTATACGTATTGCATTATACATTTGTTTTCGCTGCGCAAAACGAACTAGTTTCACGAGGGAACAAAAATCGCGACTCTTGGTATAAAACACCTGTTCGGACCAGTTGGAAATTTCGAAAGTTAGCTGGGTTGTCGTGCGCGATTAAGGGTGACATTGTAAGGGGAGACGGGCTGGCAGCATGCGAACAACGCTTTTATGACGAACTTGACACCAAAAGTAACAGCCTCCGAAAAACTTGGCTTGTTTTGAGTTATGTCATCCAAGCCGTGCCAAGATCATTTTTGATTTCTGAAAAACGTGCTGAGTCCTCTGACGTGGTAATTCGTAGTAGTAAATCGTCTCGAGTCAGTTAAGACACTACAATGTGTCTTGCCATTCTCTTGCCATTTCTAAATGAAATGTAGCGTATAATTTTAACTCTATAGAAAAGAAGAATGAATTGAAAAATTATTCAAGAGCAGTGCATACAGTGACAGATCTAAACATAGGAGAGTGTGTTTAACTTGATGAATTATCATGCTTTGGGTTTTAAAGAAATTTTATACCAGAAAGATTGTTCTGACTAAAATAAGGAGCAGAGAGTTTTTAAACTAAACATTAAAACCTTGAATTCTGCCTTGATTATTATTTGAGAAATAAACATGTAGAATCACATGACTTAAACTCATATTTTCTTAATTTTTACTCATATGTCAAAAATGTAACGACGAATGTTAGAAAAGTTATCTGACTACCCTGGGCACGTAATGTGGATCAAGAGAAAATCAGATTTGTTCTTTAGTTCGTCTTCAAAATTCCGAACCCGCCATGTAATACGTAACATTCACCTACTTCCTCGTCGGAGAGGAACAGATTTTATCGATCCCATCCCTTATCTGATTCGAGTGAACCGGGAGAAGATTCGTGCGTTCGCTACTGGAGAAACCGAGTTTCCGGCACGCAGACGAGCGGATTATGACTCTAAATCACCGAGGGAAACGTTTTCTGTGCCGTTGGACGCAATGTCGTCGGAGTTTCCACCTATTTTTTCTTTCTCTTTTTACCCATTCCTTCTGCTACTCCGCTTGCCTTTTTGCGTTTTCCTTTTTTTCCTCTCTCGTTACCCCTCCTCACCGGCCCTTTTTTCTTCCGATTTTGTTTTATTTTGTTTTCGTCGTCGAGGAAAGAGAGGAAAAAATGTAACACGAGGGTGCTTTGCGCTGCTACGTACCTACGCGTCGCGAGCCTGTCAGTAGATTTTTCGCGCGGAAAATTATGGCCGCTGTTTCTTCGACGCGCGTTCACGAAAATTGTGTAACCTACGCGAGTAACTAGCACCCTCATGCGCGTTTTAAATAATCCTGGCGGAAATTCATATTGCTGGAGAGCGTTTACCGCGAAAAAAATATTAAACGTAATATTAAAAACCAAATACAATTTTTTTAGTATAACTACAACTAATGAATTAGTACAATTTTGTAGTTGTAACTGGAAGAGTCCTGATGTTAGTTTGTTTAAAAATTGATCTCGTACAGAACTAAGAAACCAATTTCATTCCTTGACATTTTGCAGTGTAACACGTAAGCTAAGATAAAAGAAAAAGGCCTTTCTCAGGACTTGGGTTGGTGATTACAATATTGTGAGGGAGAAGGAGGAACGAAGTCGATAGCCGATGATTACGCGTGCGATCTACACTACCACGTACGCGGCTCTAATTAGATTTCGCGGCGTAACTTATGGTCAGTGCAATGATAACGGTCCGGCTAATGCCCGCAACCGTGCCACGCTTAAATCGCTTTACAATTATTGTCATTACCGGCGCGATTGCGCCGATGAACCGACATGGCGTTACGATTGCGACGTCGATCGCTGCTTGAAATGTGACGTTGACCAACTGCCAGTGTTTCTCAAATCACATAATTAAGGATAAAGCTTAATTTGAGAGATGTGGCTTACAAATAATGTTCAATATACCAACTGATTTCCTAGATACTAGGGATGCCTATAAACGCTCATTATAGATCGAGCTTTTATCTCTTTAACCCCTGGTCTGGTCCGGTCCCATTAGCTTAGCATTTATTTTTTCTGTCCCATCGCGCAGCGTACGATATTCGAACAAATTGGATTAAAAGCGGCGACGCGTGTGCATATACACGAGTACATAAATCCTGGTAACAGGAAGACAGTCGGGAAATAACGCGGCACCGTGCAAATTGCTAAATTTACGCGGTTGTGTTGTTATGTTAAATCATCATGGATTGTGAGCTGTTACTGTTAAGCGGGTCACGTTCTGATGTAATGTTTACTATTAGCATAATTACCGCATTACTATGCTACTTTTTTTATTGAATCGAACTGCAATTAGAGACAACAGTGCTGAGTAACTGNTTGAAATAATGTCTGGATACTGACTGGACATCTTATATGATTATGGTTGCATATTATATTATATTGTGTTGAGAATGATAACTGTTTTGGAATCATCGTCATTTTTTAAGACATTTAGAAATGTCCAAATAGTTATGAACGAAGTGTTCTTTCTGGAATTGTGTTGGAAGAAGGGCAGTCTTTATGGCGTACGTACGAACTTTGTCTCGGGACGCGCGGTTCTAAACAGCAGTCAACCGGCGCAGTGTGGTGCTCCGAACTCCGAACTTGCTGATGTTTAATTTAACAGTCGCCCTACCCGAAACTTTCACCCGAACGAATTTCACGAGCTGCTTTTCATGCCATCGCGTACTCCGTTACAAAAGCGAACAAATCTAAATTTAATATTGTTGCCAGGCTATGAAAAAGAGGGAAAACATCAAACTGGCAAACGAGAAATTGAAATTTCATCACATTTTCCGGTACAGGAATGTATAACAGCATGTAGGGAACATGTAGGAAAAAGATGTTGCCCTTTATTCATTTAGAAAATGTTATTCTTCATTGATGTAAAAAAGAGAAATTGTTTTAATACGTCACAGAGATATTACATGATTTTGACAAATAATGAAATGAATAATAACGCAGCGTTAAGCATTTCTCCTCTCCACAAGCTGTTCCTTTGCTGAAATTTTTTTTGCTCTTTGACATTTGTCGAATCAGCCTGTGGAGATTCGTTTGACGAAGAGTCGGTTCGTCGGACTTAATCTTATTCGGGCGATAATTATCTGGTCGAGAAAGGTGTTCGACCAAGTAGAATAAATCGCGGAT